ACTGTCAGCTGTTGGGCTACTATAGTTGAATAGTAGGATTTTACTGTCAGCTGTTGGGCTACTATAGTCGAATAGTAGGGTTTTATTGTCAGCTCTTGGGCTACTATAGTTGAATAGTAGGATTTTACTGTCAGCTGTTGGGCTACTATAGTTGAATAGTAGGGTTTTACTGTCAACTCATTCTATAGTAGCCCAAGAGCTGACAGTAAAACCCTACTATTCAACTATAGTAGCCCCCCAACAGCTGACAGTAAAACCCTACTATTCAAATTCAACTATAGTAGAGTAGGGTTTTATTGTCAGCTCTTGGGCTACTATAGTTGAATAGTAGGGTTTTACTGTCAGCTGTTGGGCTACTATAGTTGAATAGTAGGGTTTTTACTGTCAACTCATGGGCTACTATAGTTGAATAGTAGGGTTTTTACTGTCAGCTGTTGGGCTACTATAGTTGAATAGTAGGGTTTTATTGTCAGCTCATGGTCTACTATAGTTGAATAGTAGGGTTTTTACTGTCATCTCTTGGGCTACTATAGTTGAATAGTAGGGTTTTATTGTCAGCTGTTGGGCTACTATAGTTGAATAGTAGGGTTTTATTGTCAGCTCATGGGCTACTATAGTTGAATAGTAGGGTTTTTACTGTCATCCATATAACGCATCCACTGCGGAGCGCGTTTTTTTTTTCGACGGTATCGAGGCATGAATCACGATTTTCGGATTCACAGGCAGGCACGCTAACCACTAAAAATTAGATACTTGAAATCGTTAAGATTTCTTTGCTTATTGTTTTTAAATTACGAAACGGGATCAAGACACACGTAGTAGTGTGTCGCGCGACAAAAACAACCTGCAGGACACATTGTGTGTTATTAACAGGAGTGATAGTTTAGCGATTTTCCACTTTCTGTAGCTCGGACTGTTTGATATTAGGGACTACAGCAGATAGCCTTGGTACCTTTGTTAACGGCTTATTTTGCTCTGATATGTAATTCGATATTAGGGACTACAGCAGATAGCCTTGGTACCTTTGTTAACGGCTTATTTCTCTCTGATATGGAATTCGATATTAGGGACTACAGCAGATAGCCTTGATACCTTTGTTAACGGCTTATTTCGCTCTGATATGTAATTCGATATTAGGGACTACAGCAGATAGCCTTGGTACCTTTGTTAACGGCTTATTTCGCTCTGATATGTAATTCGATATTAGGGACTACAGCAGATAGCCTTGATACCTTTGTTAACGGCTTATTTTGCTCTGATATGTAATTCGATATTAGGGACTACAGCAGATAGCCTTGATACCTTTGTTAACGGCTTATTTTGCTCTGATATGTAATTCGAAATTAGGGACTACAGCAGATAGCCTTGGTACCTTTGCCATAAATACAAAATACAAATTCATCATGAAAATAAAGCTGGTGAAAAGTAAGGTTTATATCTTAATATGTCTGTACTCTTTTGTTTTTTCTATATGTTACTAAAAACCTAACATACTGTTCTGAACTTAATAATGGCAGCTTTTAAATATAGTTCTATTTTTACACCAAAGTTGTGAATTTCGGCCATTAAGAGAATGTGAAGTCCAGTCTATTCTCGAACTAGGTTATGGAGAGTTAATAATAACCAGTATTGATAACCTTGGATAAAGAATAGCTCAAAATTGAAGACCACACCTTTTATATCGCGAGCTGTAGGTTACATACCTAGTGTTTGTTTTCTCTTCTGCTTCACACACGTGATATATAGATAGATACTTGAAGAATGAGTAACATAAATGGTACTTACTTATTCGTATATCTTCTTCAGTCAGTTATATATACATATATTTGATTCATTACCATATGATGTTAGTAATGTAATGTGAACCATCTGATTGGTTGAAAACATATAGATCTCTACCATATGATGTTAGTAATGTAATGTGAACCATCTGATTGGTTGAAAACATATAGATCTCTACCATATGATGTTAGTAATGTAATGTGAACCATCTGATTGGTTGAAAACATATAGATCTCTACCATATGATGTTAGTAATGTAATGTGAACTTTCTGATTGGTTGAAAACATATAGATCTCTTGTAACTCAATATAGAAACTTATAAGCTATTTCGTAGATCGAAATCAAATCACCCAATAAACGCTTAGTAACTGTTTACCAAAAACCACAAAATGGACCATTTCACGAAACGCTTTTAGAGTATGTATACCTTATGTGAAACGTCTGACAAATGTGCAAACGTCAAAAATGTTCTTTTAGCCTGTAAGCGTTTTTCTTCTTAAATTTCCAAAATTTTCTTTTCGGTATAGTGTGGAGGGCGTTACAAGTTACATTATGATTCAACTATTCTTCTATGTGTGACCCCTAGTGGCTCAGAGGGTAACTTTCAGAGCTTATAACGCTAAACTTCGGAGCTCGATCCCTACAATGGACACAGCGCAGTGGGAACGTGCAACTTTGCTATATTAAATATACAAGATACTAAGTTTATATAGGTGTATCTAAATTATCAATGCGCCGTTTGCTAGAAGCTACATTTAATGTCCTTCCTGCAGGTATTGTCCACTTTAAAGGTTCGGAAGTGACCATGAAGTTTCACTCCGATGAAGATGTTTTCGGCTTGGGTTTCCTTCTCACTGCTGTCCAGCAAGAGTGCCCGCCTCCTAGCTGCGATGACAGATTCACCCATTCCCAGTTCGAGCTCTCTAGCCCCAACTTTCCGTCGACCTATGAAAATCGCCGAATCTGTGATTACGTCATCGTAAAAAGCTCAAGATTCGTTTGTAAGTTACGCATCCAGGTGGAGTTGTTTGATGTTGAATACGACGACAAATGCGAAGCCGACTTTTTCGAGCTGAACGGCGAAAAGTTTTGTGGGGTCATGTCGGAAGGTCAAATTGGTAAGTTTTCGTGTGTTTTTTATATGTCATAAATTAGAATGTAAGAAAAACGAAATAATTGAAATACAAAAAACGAACTTTTCCAGCCAGTATTCGAAGTAAGGTAATAATTATTTTGTTTTTCAACAGGTACTTACTGAAGAAAGGTATTTCAAAGTTTAATTTGTGAGCCTTCGAGTAGTTCTAGCAACCCCCCCCCCCCCGAACCCCCCGGGGTGTGTTGGGGGTTTTAAACGCTAGAATCCGGGGTGGT